GAGCAGGTACATACATGCATACACGTGCGTGTATGCATATATATATATGTATATACATACATATATATATATATATATATATATATATATATATATATATATATATATATATATATATACGTACGCACACGCACACACATATACTGTTTGTATATATATGTATGTATGTATATGTATATATATGTATATATATATACATATATATATATATATGTGTGTGTGTGTGTGTGTGTGTGTGTGTGTGTGTGTGTGTGTGTGTCTGTATGTGGACCTATGTATGTATGTATATATATAAATATATATATATATATATATATATATATAATATATATATATATATATATATTACTGTATATATGGTTACATATACGAAATGTGAGCCAAAGCGCGGCGCCTTCCCGCCCGCGGCCAGCCTGCACCTGAATCATCGTTCCCGCCTGTCTTCCTTCAGGAAATCGAAGCCGAAGTACCTCAGGGGATCAAGGCCGTGTCTTAAGGTCTCAAGGTACGAAGAAAGTATGGCCTTTTAAGCTCAGAATTAGTCTTTTTCATATCTCTTTTTCTTTGTCGGGTGCGGAAAGGGAAGAAGAAAATTCGAAGAGAAAAGGAAGACGTTCGCCCCCTCGTTAGGACGGAAGGTGAGAGCCAGAAGAAAAATGATATTATCGAGGGTCTGTTGGAGCGACGTTGGAGCTAGGAGGCGCGAGCTCTCACTCCTAATTCAAGGTAAGACTGCCAAACTATGAACAAAAATGGTAATTATGAAAGAAAGAATTCGGGATAAATAAAAAGTGCTTTAAGACAAAATAGAAAAAATGCAATATTGCAAGTCCGCCCCCCCCACCTCCTCTCTCGTAGCCTAGAACCCTCCATAAAATCTTACAATATACGGATAAAGCATATAAGTTATCGAAAGTTTAACCGGATTGGCGCTTTATGACTAACGCCCGAGTGGATCCAGAAGAAAAATGGCGCGTTGTCGTTGCCTCAAGAATGAGAGAGGGCGCCGTCCGCTGCGACCGAACTAATGGGAAGTTCCACAAAAGGAAATTGGCTTTTGTTTTCTTTTCTTTTTTTCCGATATCTTTAATATTTCCCAGTGTGTTCAATAGAATTTGATATCTTAAAAGGATATATAGATTTACCACTACATTTTCCTTAGCTTGTTTTGCTTGTTTGATTGTTTTCTTATCATTATTATTCAAACCATTAACGGAACACCATTTGTGTCAACATTATGTCCACTTATGCAAAATGGAATCATAAACATTTTACACAAGAAATGAATGTTTTATAGTATAGAAAAAATATTTATAAAGCATAAGTACTCCTGACATTTATATTGAAAGTTTTACTTATGCAAAAGTAAATAAGACTACTTGGAGATTTTCTGGTATAACACACGATTTCATCATTCAGCAATATTTCAGGCATTGTTGTGTATCTGTAAAGTAGCAGTTTCCTGATCTAATTAATCGAGATGTGCACTTACTAGAATCTGAGAACAATATTTCTAATACTATTAGTCATACATATTTTCTGATCTCAAACAACAGACTGGACTGTGCGATGATCTTTGGAGGTGCAAAAATCATACTGAGTACTGTTGGGTTGCAGCAAATGTGACTGTATTAGCCGTACTGGGTCTACTATAAGTGGAAATCATTTTTAAAATATTACACGAGTAAATTTTGTCTTTTCAGAAAGAGGTGAATCCATTCACTTTCTAACCGGTCTACAAACATATACATACTTAGGTTTGCCCGTTTAGTCTCTTGTGTCCATCAAACATACTATTCAGATCTATAAAGATCTAGAAAAGCTTCACTGTGCCTCGATACATACGTAAGACGTGACCAAAACAGGTCTAGATTGACTGCAATTTACGGTTGTCCACCTAAGCTGAAATTGCTACACTCTTCAGTAATATAACGTGTATCTGGTTATATTAATGCATATAGATTCATATCCTAAAGCTTCCTAATCATTTAAGCAATATAAGAGCATTTAAATAGCAACTGAATGAGACATCTCGTATGAAAATGGCCCCTGGAACGCTCCCTTTTTAAAATCCGCAAAATGATTCTTGTGCATTTCCTTCTTTCTTTTCTTTTCAACACATAACGCGGCAATAGTGTCAGGGATGTAATATCAATTTAACATTACTTGAACATACACCATTGATAAAGCAAAATATCCAACAAACCCCTGATCTCAGTACCTATCTCGTATGTGTTCTGAAACTCTCTACCGGGGTCTTGCAATGGGCACGCATTTCAAGACCCGGTAGAGTTGCTACCTTTTTGGTAGCAAGAGAGATAGTGCAGTACTGATCCCTCAGCCCCAGTATTGTGATTTTAACCTTCCATGCAGACAACAGTTTTTTTGTTGTTGTTTTTACATTGGCAATGCATGGAATCAGAAAGAGATGCAGGTTTTTATACAGATGCTGACTAAAACAACGATTGTTTCTCCCTTACGTTGATTAAAAGGGAACAAATAACATGTACAATCCTTGCCATACTGTGGCAATGTGGGGATATCAGTGTATCGTCACTATAGTAATAGATATATCTGAGGTCAAGAACACGAGATGGAGATACTGCACTGAAATAGCTAAATAAACAAAACTGATCGAGACATCTAACCCCGCTTTATGTTGGTCTTTTCCATTCCAAGTACGTTTCTGAATGTCTCCTTTTTTTAAAGACGAGAAGGAATTTATAAAGCGTTTATAACCAAAAATAAACAGAAGAGCAGATTAGAGGAGTTACGGATGAACAGCCTTGGTATTGATAAAGGGAAAGTCGAACTACATTTCAAATTTGGATGAAACATTTTCGGCGTTTGAATATTACAGTTGAAAAGGACAGCCTTACTGACAATAAATAAAATATTTCACAAAGTAATTGATTTCTATGATAAGATAGCACATGAGTTGCATTCCACATTTTTTGTCGTATAAGGTATTTCTGGATTATATGTAACGACTGGATATTCTTATTGACAGATAAGGCATTATATAGTGTTTTGAAGGGTTTGTTTTTAGACTGGTGATATGCTGTCCAAACATTTCAATGGAACTTTTTCATAATTCTGTTCATGTAAAACTTGCTTTAATCTATGATTGAAGGCCAATTGTGTTGATAATTGAGAGAGCGGGATTGTGTCAAGTAGTCAAGTGACTGACAAATCCATCAAATCACTACCACATATAGGCAGACAAACATTGGTTCTTCAAATTCTGATGAATTGCCAGAGAGGTCTAGAAGCTTTACCTTGGTGTTGGCCTTTGCTAGAGCAAAAGCTAAGGGGGGCCAGCAGCAGAGACGTATCTTCAAAATATGTACGGAATATTAGAATTTTTTGGAATATAAGCTATTTCTTGTCTTTTTTTTTCTTTTTTTTATGTAAAAGAATACTTGCTTGACCAAATGTATACTTCTTTAATGTGTAAAGTTTTCAAGCAGCTTTTCTTTTTAATTTAAGTGCAAGACAGAAAAACAATACATTCTTTGCAGAATTTGAAATAGACAGCTTTCATTTTTATTGCCATATTTTATTTTTTGTTTAGCAGTAATGTTGATCATCTTTTTCCCAAAGTTCATATTAAAAATTGAATACCTTAAATCACTTTGAAACGTAGCTATCTTTTAATATTTTAATAGATAGATATACAGAATACAATTTGTTAAGTTAAAGATGTTCATGAGAGTGCACACACATAAATGCACCCACACGCATACGCACACACTCACGCCACATACGCGCACATACACATACACACATACACGCACACGCACACGCACACGCACACACACACGCACACACACACGCGCACACACGCATACACACACACGCACGCACGCACGCACGCACGCACGCACGCACGCACGCACCCACACACACACACACACACACACACACACACACACACACACACACACACACACACACACACACACACACACACACACACACACACACACACACCACACACGCACACATGTATATGTATATATATATATATATATATATATATATATATATATATATAGTGTATATATATATGTATATATATATATATTATATATATATATATATATATATATATATATGTTATATATACATATTTATATAGAGAGAGAGAAATTTTTTTCAGATGTGAATCTAGAAGAATAGCAGACTGATAGATTTTTTTTTCTTTCTAAATTAAAATAATTTAAATATTTTGAAGGATTCGTTTATCAGGAGTAATATGTTTCTATTTCATTAAAACTGATTACATTTGACCTGTTAGTAATTACTGTTTTATTTTTTTCAGAATGATATCTTCAGTGGGTGATTTCATTGGTCATTATGAATGAAGAAAGTTCAGAAGCAGAGCTGCAAGCCAAGACAGAGGAAGAAGGGGAGAAAATTACAGAAGGAAATAAGTATTTAAGTGAGGAGACTTACCCAGAAGTAAAGAACAAAAAGGATGCTTGCCTGATTGCAGTTGATGATATGAAGGTAGAGAGTGAGACAAACAATCAGAATGAGTGGCCATTTTTGGAGGAAAAGAGAGACCTTAAATACAAGACAAATAAAAGTTCCTCTGATGTCCAAATACCAAACAAGGAAGACATTTGCACTAGTGAAATTAATAGTGTTTATATTAATTAAAAGTGAAGTTGATATAGATTTCAGTGACACAAATACATTTTTTGAAGAAACAAAAAATATAGATGATACAATAAATATTAATGACTTTGATTTAAAAGTGAAATATGAAAATGATACTTGCCTTAATGATGCAAGTAAGATCTTTGTTAAGCTTGAAAATGACATAGATATTAAGAATGAATCTTCATATTATGAAGAAACTGAATATTTTGATGACAGCAACTGAAGGTGATTGCATATATGATGCGAGGGAAAGTACAACTAAAGATCCATTTTTATTAGTACCATAGGTTATTGAGGAGTATAGGAAAATAAAGTCTACACATAGTGATCAGATGGTGCAGGCAATAACACAGGATGCAGTTGAAAACAAAGTAGCACAAATGAAAAACAAGCCATTCCATTGTGATGTATGCAACAAAGACTTCTCTAGAGAAGATAAACTTCAGACACACATGAAGTTACATACCAAAGAGAATCTCTATACCTGTGAGGTGTGTAACAAACAGTTTACATTGAAAGATTCTCTTGCAAAACATTTGATTGTACATTCTGATGAGAAACCTTGTAGCTGTGAGCTGTGTGATAAAGAATTCTATAGAAAAGATTCTTTCAGAAAGCATATAAAACAACATTCAAATGAGAAACCTTTCAGTTGTGAGGTATGCAGTAAAAACTTTGCAGTGAGAGATACTCTAGTAAAACATATGAGAGTACATACTAAGGAAAAGCCTTTCAGATGTGAAATATGTAGCAAGGAATTCTCATATAGAAATAGTTTAGTAACACACAGAAGAGTACATACTAAGGAAAAACCATATAGTTGTGAGATATGTGGCAAGGAATTTTCTAGGAAATATGGTCACTTAATACACATGAGATTGCATACTAAAGATATGCTTCATTTTTGTAATGTATGTGAAAAGGGTTTCTCTGAAAGAGGTACTCTGGCCAGGCATCAGAAAGTGCATACAAAGGAGAAGCCATTTCTCTGTAAAATTTGTAACAATACATTTACTGAAAAAAGTTCTTTGGTGATGCATATGAGAATGCATATTAATGAGAAGCCTTTCACCAGTGGAATTTGCAATAAGAAATTCAGTAGGAATGATACACTAGTGGGCCATATAAGAGTACATACAAAGGAGAAACCTTTTATCTGCAAAGAATGCAATAAAGCCTTCTCCATGAAAAGTCATTTGGCAACACATATGAGAATTCATATAAAAGAGAAACCTTATAAATGTGAAATATGTAACAAAGAATTTTATGATAGAGCCCATTTAGTGAGGCACAGAAGGACACACAAAGGAAAAGCCCTATGGATGTGAGGTATGTGGTAGGAAATTCTCAAGAAAAGATTGTTTAATTCCACATATAAGATTGCACTCTGAGGATAAACAAGAGACTATATGTGTAAAAATGACACCATTTTGATGTAATTTATGAAGAGAAATAATTTAATGCTTTCAAACATACATTCTTACTTGCTAAACGATATGTTGTTAGAATAAATTAAAATGCTTTAGAATATTTATGAATTTTTGTTATATTGAAGAGAGCTGTTGAGAAGATTTCTCGTTGGTGCATGTCATTGTTAAGGACCTTGATATGCATCTGCTTTTGAGTGTATTTTAAATATTATTTTTGTATGTATTATAATTTGGTAAAGTATAATATATTGTTGTGTGTTTGATACAGATGATTTTTAAATCTATGCTTTATAACAATCAGTGTGTGAAATGCGATATGTAAAAAAAGATGAAGACATAGATTCCGATGCATCAATACTTAAAAATATGTATTTCTTATCTACATTTTATTATCCTAGGAACAATAAGGGGAAAACATTTTCTTTTTTTTATGTTGATCTTAAGTGGTTAATAAGGTAACATTTTTAAGGTGCTATTTGAACATAATTTTGTTAAGGCATTCTTATTCCTTGTAAGATAATCAGAGAATATATTTCTTTATTTTATTTTGCAAGTATTCATTTGTTAGCTTTTTATCTACTAGAATTGTTAAAATTCCATTTATACTCATTATATGCATTGAACATAATTATGCAAAAATAACAAAATGTAATATATTAATTTAATTAATTAAATAATAAAAATAAATAATTAATGTCAAGTGCTTAATCATTATTTGTGTATTCAAGTACAGTCCCATAGTGTCACCTTTTAAACCTGACTTGAGGAGGAAAAGAAAGTTAGACATGATAATGAGGTCCTTTATGATAATGATAGCAGAAAGGGAAACCAGGATAATTTTTGGAACATTATACAAAATACTGTATAATAAAGAAACAGATGTGTGATGAAGAGGGACAGATGATTTCCTATTAACATTGATAATAATGACAATACCAATTAGTATTCCTTATTGTAGATCTATTATCATAATTATTGTGGTCATTATGACTTGTAACAATAATGATATTAGTCTACATATTCTTCCAGTCAGTTTGGGGTTGGGAGATCGAATTGTCAGACAAATTCACCCCAGAAAAGATGTTTTTCCCTCAATCTTTCTCTTTTTCACAGTACCCCCAACCTATATTCTGTGACAATCTATATTTTTTTCATATTCAGCTACAATGCACTCAATGCCTAACAACTTGAGGATCTTGAGAAAAATGTTGCAGCATTTTAGTCATTGATTCAAGACCTTATGGATGGTTCACCATCCATAACAATCAGCTCAATGAGATGCTGCTCATAAGGCTATAGGCTCTCTGCTTTCTTTTATTTTATTTTACTGTTTTCTTTTTCCTTTTCTTTTTAATATGGTCAGTGAATATTGATGCATTAAAAATAGAAACAAAACTATCAT